AGAATTGTTTTTGTTGTATGTTCTATTAGTAGTTTTAATTTTTAATTATAAATTTAGTAAAAATTATGTTAAATTAAAAAATATACATAATAATAAATTTTAATATAAATTTAATAACTGAAAAGTAAAAAATTATCGATAATTTATTTTTACAAGAATTATTATAAAAAATTAATTTTTTAATTGATAAAAGATAATCATTTTTTTTTTTACATAAAAGATAATCATTGGTACACACTTCTATCTTGCACCTTTCATTCTCAGCATCCATAATAAAACCCTAAGATCCATAGTGAAACGAAAAAGGTTGACGGAAATTTTATTCAAAATTCAAGTCCAATTTTATAAAGACCATTGTAGGTATAAAGTATAAACGTTGCATAATCTATTAACCAATAACACTTTGTCAATATTCGAACTTAGAGATAGATTATGATGAGGAGAAAGAAAGACACGTTTACACTAACCTGTTGGTGGTGACTCTCTTACTCATAGACATTTTTTTTAACATTTACCTGTTCGGTTCGCTAATTCGAGTTTTTAATTCGAGTTGAGATGTGATGTTGTGTAAGAGTTTTTTACTATAGTAAAAAAGTTAAATGCGACTGTTTCTGATAGCTTTTTACTGTAACAAAACTCGAATCAGCGAAAAGAACGAGGTCTTTACCAGGTTCCGTTAAATTGTTTTCACTTTATTTAATCTATACAATCTTCATAAGATGTAACTTATAAAAAATTGTACTGGATATTGGAACGCAGGCTACATACGTGTTTGGTAAGTAGTTCGAAACGTGGTATAAATTAAATAAAGTAAATTAAATGAAGGTTCAAACCTAAGGCATTACGCATTTGATAAAAGTTAGACATGGTAGTTTTAACTTTTTTGTGGAATAAAATGGAAAGTTTGAAGTATGAGTTTGAACTTTTGGTTCAAAACAGTGAATAAGGATCTAAGCTCAAAATTTTTAGAATACATTTGGTTCATGAATTAGAATTATGAGATTAGAATTATTTTCGATTTACGTGTATTTTTTGTGAGAGAAAATACTGTAGCGAATCATAAATTATGATTCGAATCATGGTACAAATCCTCTTACCAAACATAGTTAGAATTATTTTCGATTTACGTGTATTTTTTGTGAGAGAAAATACTGTATCGAATCATAAATTATGATTCGAATCATGGTACAAATCCTCTTACCAAACATAATCTCTTTTTTTTCCAAAATATCAACCAAACCCTAGTTCAAATGAACTTTTTGGTTCAACCCATTTGAACCAGTTTACCAAATGGTTTCTAAAGCCTTGCACACATTTCAACAATTATAATATTGGAACATCACTGTTTTTCCTTCATTCATATTCCTCATTCGTTGTATCTTATCCATCCCTCATGTCAAAAAATTTTTTAATCTAGTTTGATTGTTATAACACATTACAAAGAAATTCCAATCAAAGTGCACTCCTTCAAATAATAATTGTTTCCACTCATGTGTCCTGTGCATTTTTTTTTTTTGAGTTTCTTTAATAGGACTATAAAAATAAATTGCTAATAATTTTTTTATTTTTCACCGTTAAATCTGTATTAAAAACTGTTTGTTTTATATACGTTTTCAATTTGATTTGATTTTGACCAGATCCCAAGCGGTAAGGACGTCCTGATTCATGGATAATCCCTTAACTTTTTTCTCTTTCAACAATTAGTCTTTGTAGTCAATTTTTCTCATGAACAGTCCTTGAACTCTAAATTTTAGATGGAAACTGTTAATTTTGTCAGATAAAAAATCCTTAAACTATATTCTCTTTACTAAATTTAATCCCTAAACTTAAAAAAACATATTATCTTAAAAATTATAAAATAATAAAAAAACTAAAAAAGCTAAAAAAGTCAAATAAAAAATAAAAGATAAAAGATGAAAACATATAAAGAACAACAACGCATGTCGTCATCTTCTCCACTAAAAATATGAATCTAAAAAAATTAAATCTAAAAGTTCAACAACGCATAAATTTCTCCTTAGTGCAAACACACACAAAATATTCAAAGAGCAACAAAGGCAAGCCCAAATTTGCAGCAAGCGACCAAGCCTTGAGTCCCTGTCAAACCGCGGTCAATGAAGCCTAAAAGTGCCATTCTAAGATGTGAAACCATCTTGAGTTCGAATTCAAAAGTCTTGCCGGAGTCGAATGAGGCTGGAGAGGAAAGGAGCGGCGATGATGGGAGCGGCGATGATGGGGCATGACAAAGGTAGGGAAGGGAAGCAATGAAGGTGACGAGCAAATGGCAGGGGGAGGGGTCGATGAGCACGGGGTTAGGTGAGGGTTGGCAGATTTAAAAAAAAAAAAAAAAAACTTGATGGGGAGGGGATTTGAAAAATCTAGGTTTTTTATTTTATTTTTTTCTAGATTTTAGTGAAAAAATAAATTTTTTTTTAGGTTAGTGGGTTTTGAAGTTTTGAGAAAGTATTTGTAATTTTTCTATTTTTTATTTAACTTTTTTTTTTTGTTTTTTAGTTCTTTTTCTGATTTTATAATTTTAAGATAATATGTTTGTTTTTAAATTTGAGAAAGTATTTGTAATTTTTCTATTTTTTATTTAACTTTTTTTTTTAGTTTTTTAGTTCTTTTTCTGATTTTATAATTTTAAGATAATATGTTTGTTTTTAAGTTGAGGGATTAAATTTAATAGAGATAAGATATTTTAAGGATTTTTTATGCGATAAAATTAACAGTTTCCATTTAAAATTTATCAGAGAGATTATTTATAAGACACTTTTAAAATTTATGGACTATTTACAAGAAAAATTAACTATAGAAACTAATTATAAAAAGAAAAATTTGTTCAGAGTATTCGTAAATTTAACTCTTTTTTTTATTGTCTTTTATTTTACTTTTTTTTTTTCTTTCGCTAATGGTTTTGTCTTTTATCTTACTTGATCTAGTGGACTGCGGTACTACCATATTTGTTCATTGTTGGCGGGGCCCACTCTTGTAATTTCGTTTCGTCGCTTTGTTTATGGCTCACGTTTTTGGGCGGATGGCAGAATAGCAGGTGAAGGGAACCAAATGAAATAAAATCATAGTATCGTACGGACCGTCTTCCTCAGGTACGCACAGATGCAAAGGCCCGCAATTCACGGTCAATCTGTCTTTTTTTTATATACGCCGGTTCTTCAATTTTTAGAGCTAAACAAAAGAAAAGGTAATAAGAACTCCTCGTTTCCATCGCAAAATCACTTTATATGAGCATTATGGTCTCGTTCATTTTATCGATTTGAGTTTTCAATTTTAGATTTTTATAGTAAAAAATTCTCAGAAAATATCACATCTAATTTTTTTTTGCTACAGTGAAAAGCTCTAAAAAAATGTCACATATCAGCTCGAATTAAAAACTCGTAACTGCGAAATGAACGAGGCCTATAAGGAGATATTTATTTTATGCATCCGTTTTTAATTTTAAATCATAATTCATAATTTTTTACAGTATTTTTCTTCTATAAAAAATTTAAATTTTTAAAATAAGAATCATGAATCATGATTCTGAAACGGTCTTGAATTTTAAACTTAAATTGGCATATGTCAAGAGACATAAATTACTACAGAAAATGTCATAATTAAATATACTTAAAAATTATGAAATTTATAAAATTTATAAATAAAAAAATTATCACAAAATCTAACGATATTAAGGGCCGTTTAAATTGGTTTAAAAAAGGCTGTTTTTAATTTATTTAGTCTAAAAGTCGCTTTTGAACCTGTTTAGATGAACAATTTTAAAGTGTTTTTGACTTTTATAAATACTTTTAGAACAAGTTATTTCTTTACTTCTTATAAAAAAGCGCTTATGAAAAGTTTTTTTTATTTACATTTTTGACATTTTCTTTGTGAGCAACAAATTAAATATCTCATTCATATCCTTTTATTATATTATTTTTTATAACAATAAGTGTTTTTTACTTTTTTTATCCAAATAGATTTAAAAGCTCTTCTTAAATATAAAAACTGTTTTTAGGCACTATTTAAACACTAATTAAAAACCCAAAATCATGCTTATCTTCTTCTACTACTTAAAAATACAAGCACAAATTACTCTAAACGGGCCTTGAATGAAATACACACAAGTATAAATATAATTTTGTTTAGCACACAAAATTTAAATGGTCACTATAGTATATTTTATAATAGTTTCAGTACTTATTACAAAAGCTAATCTAACTTTACAAACCATGAGATATTGTCTAAGGTGATTCGAATTTAGAATTCGAGTTTTACTATAGTAAAATATTCTCAGAAACAGTCACGTCTAACCTTTTTACTATAATAAAAAATTTTCACATAAAATCACATTTTAATTCGAATCAACAAACTAAACGGTCATAAATATCTCTAAATCAAACCAAGACTTGGTTTGGAAGCATTACTCCATGGAGGCCCTCGAAAAAGAAGGGAAAACACAAACGGGCTTGTTATTAAGCCAATGTTGTTTTAGCTATCAGCCCACCATGTAACTATGCACGTGCTGCAAATTACAATGGGCCTTGCAGGCTCGCACTTTTGGGACCACAGAGAACACACAAAACACTTTTTTTTTTTTAAAAGAAGAAATTCCCAACGAAATTTAATTACAGTTTAATCCACAGCGTGACACGTGTAAGTTTATCTTAAGTTCCATCATTATAACCGGTGAAAATTCCCACTGGCTCGGAAGTTGGATGAGAGTCGGACACAGAATATTACCTGGATATTGGAATAAAGAAGATCCCATCTTGAATACCCAAAACACCCTCCAGTGCATTTAACACTCCTGCCATTGCAGGGCTAATTTGGTAACTTCAACTTCTAAATGGATATGCCGTACCAATTACAAGCCTTGCTTAAAACACGTGCAGGAAATTCGCCTCGTGTCTTGCTCCCAATCGTAGTGAGAAATTTTCCCGAGAAAATTTTTGGGGGGGGATCGGAA